AAGGGTGAATTTTATGTGAATTATTTCTCAAAAAAAATTTTTTTTAAAGGAGGGAGGAGGCTTAATGAGATTTGGCATGAAAAGAAATTGTAAAGGCCTAAGAAAGGCATGGAATTTGGTATTAATATCCAGGCAAAGACAAAGAGTGGAAGAAAGAAAGCATAGACAAGAATACCCAATAATTACATCCTTAAGAGTCTAAACATTAAAAATAAAGGTTTTAATTACAGTGTTCATGAGACAAATCATTTTCCCCTTTTGGGAAAGTATATGGTGACTTGCTCTTTTTTTTTAGGTACTAAAAAATTACCAGCAGCATTCCTTAGTTCTTTTAGGCTATGAATTGTGCAACAATCTCAGCTGCAAATCAAGCAACGTTATGATGTTGTATCATTTAAAATCACTTGAGCTTTGTAAGAACTTTTTATTTATTTGCAATAAAAGCATACAGTTTGTACTCCATGGCAGGAAATCATATCCTACCCAACTATACTTGCCCCAGTGAAACTCAAAGACTTCCCTGGGTTTTCTTTTCCTCATTCTTTGAATTTTAATCTGTGTGTTTTTAGTCTTTGAGTTAACTAAGAAGTCTTTTCGTTCTGTGAACTAAGCACATTCCTTCAAAACCACAGGCATCCACTTCTCATTGGATTTATGACAATCACAACATTGGCATGCAGGTAAAAAAAAGAATTCAATTTGCTTTTCCCATCACACCTCTGGTTACCTCAGGGAACCCCACTTTAATGGGAAAGAAGGAACGCCAATTTATGCCATCCTAACCACGTCCAAGTGTTCCACAATATTCCTCAGTTGTCTATCCTTTCCTCTGCACACTTCTAGAGCTCTAGTATTGAATCATTAGAGTTTTGCCTTTCAGAAAAAGGTGGCGTTTCAAGGAAAAGGGATTCTGACAGCAGCCCAGAGGAACTTCCCTTCTTCAAATAGCCTCTTTAGGAAATTCCTTTCTAAATCTAATAAATTTATGGATTAAACTACTTTCAAGGATGGAATGGCCTGAGAGCATTCTAAACTGAGATTAGGACTTTATCCTTTGTTCAACACACAACACGGATCACACTTAATATTTAACAGAATTGGTCAGTAACATTCTAAGAGTTAGAAAAGGCTTTAAAATTTGCTTTGTTTTTTCTATCAACACAATGACAAACATAAATGGGTGAATTATAGCTCACTGTAAGAGAATAAAGAGTAAGAAAGATTAAGAATAAAAGAGGTGAAACACCTTATATGGTTTGTGAGAAAGGCCAAACACCCTATTTGTGTTGCTCTTTTTAGCTGGTTGTTGGGCAGACTGCTCTACAAGAGAAAATGTGATAATCTTAAGAGAGGAAAATGAAAATTGTAGTCTTTCCACTAAAAAGGGTCAATTCAGTCTCAAGAATAAAAGAGCATGGCCTCCCACACTGATGGCTATATAATTAGTAATATTTCCTATGATAACAAACATAATTTACACTATAATTATTAAAAAATTTATCCTACAAAAAGTTGCTTGAGTTTAAAATGACAACAACCTTCGTACAACCTTAGAGTACGTTGATGCAGCTATTTGTATTCCTGATACTCCATTGTACTTTGAGTCCATTAAGAACATAAAATTACTTTTCCTAGATTTTCCCATATGGTAAGTAGAATCTTATGGATTTGTGGCTATCAGGCAGAATTAAGTCACTTGAATTCCTGGGCAGAGAGGAGTGGAGCTATATAAACATGGGAAAAAGAGCCATTACTATTCAGTGATCAAACCATTAAAATATATATTTTATTGCCATAAAGTGTATCACTGTTTTACCTCCATAGTATACTGTTTTTGCAAAGTTGAGAAATAATGGGTTTATTCTGCTTTTATAATTAAAACATTACTTTCAAAGTTTGTAAAGCTCACTGAACTAACCACAGTAATGGTGGAGTTGAGCTTGCTTATTTTGTTTTTAAGGGAAGTGTTTAAGTTTGAATGCAACAGTCGTGGTGGTTTTAAAAGTAAATACTCATATTAGAAGCAATGTAGTATGATACTCTTTTCACCAAAATATTTTCTACCATTTGTGAAAAAAAGGAAAAGAGATGAGAATAACCTATGATTATGTAAACTGTGGAAGGGTAAGTTAAGGAGGGACTTAATCAAATATATATTTTTAAAAAACAAATATAGAAAAGAGTACTCTGGAAACCAATATTGTACTGTATATTAACTAACAAAATTTAAATAAAATTTAAAGAAAGAAAAAAATACAGAGAAGAGTGAGTATATTATAGTAGGAAGACTTTAATACAGCAGCTGACAGAACTTCCCAACCATAAGGGCAGTGAAAAACTGAAAGAAGTATAATGTGTTTTCCTTTGGAAAGTGGGAACACAGATAATTCTCCTTAAATGTAATATTATATAGAAAAGAGAACTGGTTTAGTTAATGTCTTGACACTCTCATTTTTTTTTTCACTAGTATGAAGGTAAAAAAGACAGAAAAAAGGGACGCTGGGCCAAATCCATATGTACAACTGTCAGCCTGAGTTCTTTAGGGACTGAGTAGTTTTGAATAGCTGAGTTTTCTGGAGAGGTATGTGTATATCATCCCAAGAATTAAAATTTTGAATGAAAATATTACTAGAATTGTATTTAAATATCATGATCTTTATTCTTCCCTTCAGACTTCAAAGGCTTTTTTTTTTTTTTTAAGATTTTATTTATTTATTCATGAGAGACAGAGAAACAGAGAGAGAGAGGCAGAGGGAGAAGCAGGCTCCCAAGGAGCAGGGAGCCCGATGCAGGACTCGATCCCAGGACCCTGGGATCATGACCTGAGCCGAAGGCAGCCGCTTAACCATATGAGCCACCCAGGCGCCCTCAAAGGCTTTTTAAAAATACTATATGAGTCATTGAAACTTATAGAAATTAAAAAGGAAAAGAAACAGCCATAATCTTACCACCCAGAAACCACCAGGAAGTACACAGAACATAATTCAAGGCTGTAAAATAATGAGATCCTCAAATCTACATGAGTATTTTCTAAAGCCTGTTACTATGCTATCTATGTTACTCTGCTAAATTCAGACCCTTTTTGTCCAGCTCCAAAGACTAACCTCTTAACCTTCTCCAAGGCTTGTGCCCTAAAAGGCCACACATTGTTATAAATTTTAAGAGCTCCCACACATGCATCCTTGACACTATAATTTTTCAAACTTTCCCTAGCATCAGATTCTTGTTTTTCAGTTTTCAAAGATATATTTTCTTTTTATGGTATCCCCACCACCTTTCCAATCTGCTGCTTTAAATTTGCTTAAGCTTGGAAACATCATAACAAAACAAGCTCACTGAAATCTTGTGAAACACAAAAAAGACTTCCAGTAGATGAAGTAGATATAGACTTTGTTATATATATATATATTGGTCATTCCCTACTCATAGTTCTGTTCTGATGGAAGAGATGTTACTATTCTGGCTTTGAGACATGAAAGATATGACATTTAAGTCTAAACATGCATTAGACAATCTTGAAAAATCAACGTATTTATAATCCAAAATGATTCAATAAAAATTTAGATAGTTATAGATGGAAAGGCACATTACCCAGTCAAGAAACCTGCTCATACAGCAGAGTGGAACAGTGACTACATCTGCAGAAAATATGTTCATATACAAGCTACAAAAAAATCAAATGTGCCATAAAACAAGGCAGGTAAGGAGTCCCTAAGGATAAGGAATGTTTAAACAAGAAAAGAAAGAGGCTCATTCAATGCCCTGTACTAAAAAATGAGCCTCAGGTTCAAAAAGAAGTTAGGAGGGGCGCCTGGGTGGCTCAGTTAAGCGGCTGCCTTCGGCTCAGGTCATGATCCCAGGAGCCTACTGCTCCCCCTGCTTGTGCTTGCTCTCTCTCTGTGTCAAATAAATAAATACAATCTTAAAACAAAACAAACAAACAAACAAAAAAGAAGTTAGTAGGAGACTGCTCCCAACTCATTCTGGCCCAAAAAGGTGAAGAAGGCAGACCACCAGAAAGAATAATGGAATAGAGAAAGGAGGCCAGGGGAGTTTGACACAAATAAAGACTAACAGCGGCTTTCTTGTTTTGATTAGGGAAAGACCGGTGGATATAGAAGAAGGGTTGCCTTGAAGGCAACACAGTGCTCTCATTTCAATCTTGGCTGGGGTCAGCCCTGTTTATTTTCCACCAAATGTGGATAAATAAGAAGCCTCATAGAGCTGTTTTTATCATATAAGCTTGGCAGGTATATTGCTTTTAAACCTGATGACACATAATATATACGTGTGTATGTGTATAATTTCATGTAATATATAAAGTTTCTTTTTGTTTGTAAGGTTAACATGACAGCTTCATTAATCAAGTTATTATGATAATTAAAATTTATTTGATTAGATTTTAACTAATATGTAATATTAGTTATTTTGCAACTATAGAACATACGCCTCTGGGAAAGGGTGGCCCAATTGCTTGCAGTGGCAATTAAATGGATGGCAATTAAACTTGTGCTTTCCTTCCACTGGCCTCTGTTCCCTGCTAGGCTCTCACTTAAGAGAGAAGAAACACGATGTCACTCTGACCCAAAAATCTCTAATTCTTAGGATGGAAGGTACTGACAGAACCTAGAGTGCACCTTAAGAGTTTGATGGTTCTAAAGGCATTCCTGAGTTGCTCCATGGGGATGAGGCTCTCAGAATAAGACCCTGGATACATAGTTAAGACTGAACCCCCACTTCCACCCTTCCATGATTTTTCTCCTTAAGTCTGCCACTCAAGTCTCCTTGTCCCAAGTCTCCCTGTGTCCTTGTACTCTATCAGGCTGACGTGACACATCAGCATCTGAGTTTTTCAAGCTAACAGCTTATAGTTACTTACTAAAAAACAAACAAACAAATCAAGTTTGTAAAGTAGGGATACTTACATGTAGTAACCATGGCCTCCCTTTGCCCTCTTTATACTTTATTCAAATAAAATTATAAAAAGGGACTGTAATTTATATTCAGATAATTAAGAAGTGATTATATTACTCCTGTATCCATTGTATATAAATGTAAATGACAGCATCTTTTAGATGCTTTGGGTACTAGGGGAAAAAAGTAGTCCTTGATAAAATGCAACATTATCACACAGATTTGAGTACTATGTAAGCAATTATCCATGACAACTCAAACTTAAGCAACATGGTAAGTATTATTACCTTCACTAGCAAAGAAAAATGCATGAACTGCCTAAACAATGTAGCATTTTAAAAAATTCATATTTACTTCCAGCTATTCTGTGGCCATTAACATTGTGGGTGCTTTTAAAGGTCAAAAACAATGAACTGTCTAAAAATATTCTGAATAGCAATGGTATTACACTGTGAATTTTATTTTCAAATTTTGGCCAATAAAGAAGAAAATAATAAAGTTAAGCAATCAAAAGAGTACCAAAAAAAGACACTCATATACACAAAAGATATGAACAGTATAGATTCACTTCCAGTTGATTCAATTCTACTTACACATTTAAAATATAAAATACATCTTAATTTGTCAAGAAACTGACCACATTTAGCACCAGGAAAGAAACTTTACTTTAGCTTTTGATCATGACTTCAATATCTTGTCATAGGAAAAGAAATTGCATGGAAACTGTATGTATTTATCACTGTCAATTAATAAAAAATTAATTTTGAAAAGTAACTGTTATCATCAATTCACAAGTGATTCAAAGGGAATAAATCCTTAAAACTGGAACTACTTGATATTGCGCACAACTCTCCTACAGTGGTTTGTTTTCATCTCCTCCAATGCTTGTTCCAATTGCTGAACCAAATGGAGCAGAGTGGCTGGGTCTGTCTGCAGAACTTGGGTGTTGTGATCTCCGTTCTGATTAAGGTGTAGCTTTATAGTCACTGATGGTTTAATCTGTTGCCTGAGGCTTCTGCTTGCAAGCTTCATTTTAAATGGAATAAGGGCATAATAACTATTTAACAATCATGCTGAACACACAGTATTTATAATTACCTTATATCACATACAAAAATCAAGTTTTACATGAATCATAGACTTCAAAATGAAAAATAAATTTTAAAAAATTTTGGAAAGAAAAAAGAATATACACACAACCTTGCCATACAGGATTTCTTAAACATGATATAAAAGACATAAACCATAAAGAAAAAAAACCAGTAAATTGAACTGCAAATTGTTACATTTTCTTCTAAAGGATACCTAAAGATGGTGGGAAAACAAACCACAAACTTAGAGAAGATAGTTTGTAACACATACAGCTAAAAAAAAGATTAGTATTCAGAATGAATGAAAAACGGTTCTGATTAAAAAAAATAACAAAAACAAAAAAAAAACCCTACAAGACCAAGAGAAAAATGTGCACTAGACCTAAGTAAGCACTTCACAAAGGAAATAACACAAATAGATAAACATAGGAAAACATGTTCAACTTTATCAGAAATCAGGAAAATGGCCAACAAAACCATAAAGTTTTGTTTTATACATATCAGACCAGCAAGAATTAAAAACCTGTCCAAATGAAGGCACTGTGAGCAACAGTCATGGGAACTCTCCCACTGCTGGTGAGAGTGAAAAGAGAATGGCTTCAGAAAATATACATTACCATCAATTCCACTCCTAGATATATACGTTGAATTTTTACATGTATACATTACATTCATAATAGTAATTGTTTTTGTTTCCAAGAGTCAAAAATTAGAAATGTCTCAAATATTCTTTAATAATAGAATGGATACATTGAGAATGCTCATACAATAAAATGCTTACTAAATGGCAATGAAAAGAACTACAGCAATATAAATTGTTATGGAGAAATCTAAAAAAATAAAAAATCAAGTTGCAGAGTAATACATAAAAACTAAAGTTAAATGAAAAAACATGTGTAAAAAAAGAACTATAAAGAAAGGATTAACAGAAAATTCAGGATAATGTTTACCTCCAGAGGAGTGGGAGCGGTTGTAACTGGGGGAGGTCATACATGGTTTTGTTGTGTTTCTTAAGCTTGGCAGCGGGTACTTGTTTTATTATTATTCTTTAAACTGAGTATCTATAATCTTGATATATATATTCTGATATAGAATATATCAGAATGATATATTCTGAATTTTTTTTAAAAAGTACAATTGACATATTTTTAAAAGAAAAAAAATCCAAATACTAGAAACAGTGGCTAACTGTCCTAGCACAAGACTGTTCGCTAAAGACTATTCTTTCTTAAAAGGAACCAGGACCTCCTTAACGGAATAGGTGATTAGAAGTCTGGGACAACAATTGTACAAGATGAACCTGAAACATCTTGTTATACAAGAAAGCAAGACTGTTACCTAAAACTATTGGAGTCATGGCAAAAGGACAAGAAGCCAAACTGAAGAGACTTCCAGTAACAAATCTAAACCTGAGATTTCAGGATTAATTTCACACCACAACACAGAATATTCTGACTAATAACTTCTTCTAATTAATTCTAGGTGATCTGGCTTCCAAAAGAACCTAATATACTGACCCATGGCTGAAATTTAATGTCGAAAAATAATCTGGAAACAAGTCAATCCCCTTGAGTGAGCCAGTTCCCAAAGCGAATATAGGTACTTTTATTTATTTATTTATTTTTAAAGATTTTATTTATTTATTTAAGAGAGAGAGAATGAGAGATAGAGAGCACGAGAGGAAGAGGGTCAGAGGGAGAAGCAGACTCCCCGCTGAGCAGGGAGCCCGATGCGGGACTCGATCCCGGGACTCCAGGATCATGACCTGAGCCGAAGGCAGTAGCTCAACCAACTGAGCCACCCACGTGCCCCGCGAATATAGGTACTTTTAAGTTAAAGTATCTCTTTAAGATCATTTCTCTAGTACAGAAAATTATAGGTATGAAAGACAGATAAACTATTAAGTATGATGACTGAAAATACCACCTATTGATTCACTTATGCATTGTTTATACTTCTTTTTTTTCTATATATCTGCATTGACAGATAGGGACCAAATGTATCCAGGTGTGTAATTAAGCCATCAACTTTTTGTTTAGAGACTTAAGGTCAGTGCTCCCTTCGGCAGCACATATAATAGAGACTTAAGGTCACTCAATCTATCCTTAAATTTTTAGACAACATAACACCTAAATTAATATCCTTTACAAATAAGTATCCGTACCACTCTTTAAAATTTCTAAATAAAGATTACATAACATCCCTAACAAACACCTAGTAAAACATAATCAGACCTAATTTTTTCTCGGAAAGAAATTTCGAGGACAATACAGGATAAAGAACAGTAGGCCACAAGGTTCTTGATATGGACTTATTTTTTAATAGGGAGGGAATTCTGTCCTTGTAAAAATAACAGCAATTTAAATGGATCAGTCCTAAAGGTAAATCTTCCCACACCAATCTCAGATGCATTCAATTTACTGATGCTATCAAATGCATTAACTGTGGTGGCAATTTATGAAGGGAAATGTTTCTATTAGAAACTAAACTATGATGATTAATGTATTTCTCATAAGCAACTGCACAATAATTAGATGGTAACTGTCCATTCACTACCAGTGTTCATGAGACAAATCAGTTACTCAAAAATGAAAGGTCTTATATCCTATTATTAGCTTCCCAGCCATTTAGCTGATCTTCATCTGACAAGTCTTCCTCCCATAAACAGAAGAATCTACTCCAGTTAAAATCCCTTGTAATAATTAAGACTAATGAGCTCAGAAAATCAGTTAGTTCTTTAAGTAGCTTTTTAGCCATAGATGCATTTCACCATATGAAGCAACATTCATTCAGTATACCCTCAACTTTAAAATCTATTAGTCCTGAGACGAACCATTAGAGAAGATGGACTCTGAAAAACAAACTGAGGGTTCTAGAGGGGAGGGGGGTGGGGGGATGGGTTAGCCTGGTGATGGGTATTAAAGAGGGCACATTCTGCGTGGAGCACTGGGTGTTATGCACAAACAATGAATCATGGAACACTGCATCAAAAACTAATGATGTAATGTATGGTGGTTAACATAATAAAAAAATTATTAAAAAAAAATAAAATAAAATCTATTAGTCCTTGCAATAACACGGCTATTCAAACCCATTTCACTGGGTAAATGAGCTCTCCCGAGCTTTAGAAAATGCAACTGCTTAAGTTTCTAATTTCTAAAAATGTATTCATAATGGAAAAACTCAAAGCAAATCACAAAGCCAAAAAAATAATTTCTAAGGGCTACCAGACCCCAAATTCAGAAATTATCCCCATTCGAAAGAAAGGTAAAGATGTACAAGATAAATTACTGCTGAATGTCATGAACATGACCATCCCCACACCTCCTCTACCTGGTTATTATGAGAGGACTGAAACATAAAAGCTTAGCAACAGTGATCTCCTCCCCGGGAACCCCACAGGATTTGCTTCTTACGGTGTCTCCAAGAGCATGAACTGTGTCTGGTTCTTTGTGAATCCACATCACCTAGCACATTATAACTGTACAAGAAGCTTTTAAATATTCAGTACTGAATGCCTATTATGTACCAGGCATTGTGCTGGGGACAGAGCAGTGAACAAGACACAGTGACTGCCCTCATGAAGCCTATAATCTGGTTTATACCATATCTGTGTTTGTACCTATTCAAGCACTCATCACATTGGATTATACTTGCTAAACCCTCTAACTGAATTTCTGTAACCTGTTTGGATCATCTTATCACCATTCAAATCAGTAAGAATCCACTGTAACAGTGGTTTATAAACTGCAAGCTAGAATTACCTGGGTAACAATGTTTAAAAAATCCTGATGGCCAGGTCAAACCCCGTAACAATAAATCAGAATCTCTGGGGGTAGAACACAGACATGAAAATATTTTAAAACTACCCAGGCCATTTCAATATGCAGTCAGGTTTGAGGACTAGTGCACTATACCACATATTCAACTCTCATTCCCACATCCATGTGGGCTTTTACAACTTACGCTGCTTCCTCTTCCAAGAATATTAACATTGGTTTTCTCCATTCATCCTTCTGAAATTTCACCTCCTTTTGTTGAAACTTTTCTGGACTGTGCAAGCATACACTGAACTACCTAAGCTATAGGTTTTTGAAATATAATACTCAGTTGTACCTTCATTTATACAATTATATTTCCCCCCTCCAGAAATCTATTTTACAACTATCTTTAAGTACTAGTTATTTTGAGAACATCTAATATCCCTAACTAGATGATAACATCTTTTCCATTTGAGAAAATGTCCTATGCTTCTTTTGTGTCCCAAAGCATTTAGCACAGTTCTAATCAGCAAATGGATGACATTCAAGAAACATCTATTAACTTATCTGTCACTGCTTGATAAAGGGCTACATGCAAGAGTCTGAGAACTCCCTTTCGGTTATCTGTGTGGCTTTACAAACAACTAAATAAACAGGATGTGTAAAAGAAGCCAGACACAAAAGAATATTTACTGAATCATTCCATATATAGAAAGTTAAAGAACAGGCAAAAGCAAGCTATGTATCTGAAGTCAGGACACTGGTACCTTTGCAAAGGAAGGAAGGGGAAGTAATTGGTAGGAGGCAAAGAGGATGCTTTTGGGGTGCCTATCATGGGAAAGTGTTGGTTTCATGGGTGTTTTCACCATGTGATAATCCACTGAGCTTTACAATGCCCTGTGCACTTTGATATATGTGTGTTTTGTTCAAACATAAAAGTTTCATAAAATCAAATACAACTTTAAAAATCTGCATGCCTATCTCCTTTCCAAAATAACCTATTTCTTACAAACTTTGCAAATTAAGCTAATCTAAACACATTAAACATATAAGAAAATGAACTATTTGTGAAATAGTCTCAAAATAAACATTAAAAAAAATTAGTTTCAAACCAAAGTTTGGTTAAGGTGGTAAAGAATAAAATAAGCTTAAGAGCATGGAACTAAAATTAATCTTATATTCTGTGTCAGGTGGGGAAAAAAAAGCCATACCTGTACATCTAGTCGCCATTCAAGGCTGTGGTAACTTGGAAGGTCTGGTGCCAATTCACTCAGAATAGTTCTGATCTCTTTTCTGTTGTCCAGATAAAGCTGAAGCAATAATTTGTTCAATTCTTCAGAGAATCCCAGAACAAAAACAGAGTCTTGGAAATCCAGTTCAGAAATCTGAAAGTGAATCAAGTTTAACAGAACATTAAATTTATTTTTGTCTAGTAAATGCTAAAATATTTGAAAAGAATATGCTATCCCCTAATTCTTTTCTGCCTGGTAAAAGAAATAACATCCTTTATATTTAAAAGTAACTCTTGCCCACTATTCCAAAATCTGAGTCTCTGATACATAAAAATGCTTTTATTAAAACATAAAAAGAATTGTTGAGTGCCTGGGTGGCTCAGTTGGTTAAGTGACTGCCTTTGGTTCAGGTCATGATCCTGGAGTCCCGGGATCGAGTCCCACATCGGGCTTCCTGCTGAGCAGGGAGTCTGCTTCTCCCTCTGATCCTCCCCCTCTCGTGCTGTCTCTCTCTCTCTTTCTCATTCTCTCTCTCGCAAATAAACAAAATCTTTAAAAAAAACATAAAAAGAATTGTTAAAATGGACAGTTTCTCTCCTATTCTCCATCAAGCTAGATATTGCTAATATGCAAAAAAAAAAAGTCATTTAATTCTCCCTCCTCCTAGGATACATACTATTGTATATGGTTTAATAATATGTAGAATTAGAAGTAATTCTGATTTATACTAGAAGAGGCATTCATGCCAGGAGATCACACTATAGTCATATTGTTTATGCATGGCTTCACTAAGTCAATTATAAACCATTAACAACATTACTGAAACAAGCAGGTGTCTGCCAGGGCTATGATGTAGAGTATACTGGACCTTTTTAAGGTCAAAGAAATACAAAATAGTCCACAGAAGCCCTTACCATAAGCTTTGAGCTTTCAGTGAGGAGGTATGTTAATCCTTCCACACCATGCTGGACAGTGTCACTGCTCACACTGAGTTTTCCTGGGAAAATGGAAAAATAAGCCAATAAATTATTGTGATATTTATCCTTTTATCCAAATTCTTATTAGGCATAAATATTATCCATTATTCCTATTTTCAGGCACTGTAATGAAAAATAATGAGTTGGTAATAGTCTCCTGTTCATTTTCCACTGCCAGGCAGATGCCTCCAGTATTTCCCGCTGTGTAACCTTCTTTACAAAATGCAGACCCATGGAGTCTAATATCAGTACAGTCCTTCTCTTCAATGCTCAGCTATTTCAAGTCTGGCATAAGAGGAACTCCAAGGACTGACAAGCTCAGAAACCACCCCTGCCCAGCAGAGAAAAAACAATACTGCAGCAAAAGCGGATGTCTGAACAACTAATTGTAACCAAACACTTGCAGGATATTAATGCCTCACCCAGCCACTCCACACACTTGGGTGCATTTAAGCATCATAGTATCTCTGGCAGATGGTATTACGTGCTTTTTACGCATGACAAAACCGACTCAGTGGAAGCTTTAAAAATCTCAAAACTACTCAGGGGGCGGGCAGGATTTGCGTCCAGAAGAGCCTTTCTGCTTTTATTCTACCACAATGAGAGTAAGACCCTTGGAGCTGCAAAAAACCCTTCCTCTCCAGGGTGCCGAAGAATGGCCCGCACTTCCCCGTGCAGCAACTCTCCCCGTCTTACTGGCTGCGCCTTCGTAGATCTTGGGGTTAGAGCCTCGCCTCAGGAACTCCACCGCAATCCGCCCAAACTCCGCGACCACTGCAAGGGAAGCCAGGAGACCATGAGCTCTGGGCGTACCCCTTGATCCCCCAAGCCACAGGACACCACCCTCTGCTGCCGCGCCCCCGACCCGTGCTGTCCACTTGCGGCAAAAAGGCCAGGTGCTCCTTATGCTCCTCCGACAGGTCCAGCAGCATCTTCGCAAGACGGAGGATTTCTCTTGACAGCGTTGACGCCGCCCTCGCCACTTCCGGGGCCAGCGTCCAAGCGCAAAGAGGCTCCGGCTCCTCAACATCCCCAGCTTTTGGGTTCCGGTCTATCGCAGTCCTACACGCAAACGCCCGCGGGTGGTGTATTCTGGGGTCAGAAGATTCTCCCGTTCGCAAATCATCTTGAAAAGATGTAGCCTGCTGGTGCTCGGTGCTATGCTCTGTGGAAGAGGAAAAGATGTTTAAAATCCGACACGTCCCCTTGTGGAGCTTACATTAATAATATCAATAGCTAACATTTATTAAGCACTTATGTCAGGAAATGTTCTTACGTTTATTAGAGTTCAAAAGAATTCCATGAGGTAGGTACCATTATTGTTCCCATTAGAGATAAGGAAACAGAGAAAGGTCAAGCAACTGAAACTAACTTTTATAGAGCTATTAGTTTGCACAGAGCTTTTGTATATGTTATTTTATTTGATTGACCTTATTTAATTCGCTCAATAGCTATGACCTCGTTTTTACAGATGAAAAATCAAAGCTCCAAAGATTACATAATAAGCCAGAGACAGAACTGGAAAGAGAGGTCAGATCCCTTGACGACCTGCTCTAAAGCCCATCATTCTACACAGCAGGCTGAAAACTGAAGGTTTGTAACAAGTTCTGTGAATGATTATGAATTAGGATAAAGATGGTGATGACAACAATGATGCTTGCAGGGTTCAGAACGATATCTTTATTTTAATGTGTTGAGAACAGGGTGAAAATTTGGTTCCTTTCCCAGCTTTCTCTTCTCACCTGCTGTGGTTCAAATATCAGAGTACAGAATTGCTAATGGATAGGAATATGACTCTCCAAATTTCAATCCCTTGGTGGGGGAGTTGTTGGGGGAGAAGGGAAGGGGATGGGAGAGAGACTTCATATCTATTGTTATATCTAAGGATTGAGATAACTCTATGCTCTGATTCTCTTGGGCAGAAATGAAAATTGGAAGTTTTTCAGCTCTGTTCACTGTGTATACCTTGTCCTTCACATTGTTTGTTTCCTCCACTGCTGCACGGAAAGGTGCGTCCTTAAACTTGTTAATTAGGTCATGAAACAGCATTTGCAGAGAGAGCACAATCTTTTCTTAGACTCTAAGTTGCAGATCAGGAAAAATGGCATCGTTTCCTGAAGGAGGTTTTATTCATACATTATTGAGAAAATGTCCATTATTTAAGAATAATTTTCAGAAAAGGTAAAACCATGATTCTTTTACAAATATATAATGAATACATGCCAAAGATTGTGTTGGACCCATGGGTTAATGAGGGGATCAGTAAGATTACAGTAAGAACCAGTTTCAACTGGCACAAAGAAGATAATTCAAGAACCATACATCCATAGGGAATAAGGAATGCTGAAATGAATCTACCAATAGACATAATGCTATGCCAATATGGTATAGTCTTTCTTTCCTGTGATCTCAGGAACTGAAAATGGGAGCAGGGGAGGGAGATAGGGAATAGAAGTAACAGAATGGGTGACCAAAGAAGGTGGTCAAGAAACCAAGTTATAGCTGAGGGAAAACAGCTTGGGAGTTAAAACTCTCTGGGTTAATTTGCAGGGCAACTTTTTGTTACCAAATGCCATACAGTTGTTTAGAGGAAATTACCTGAATGAAAAATCAAAAGTCTAGATTCCAGATCTGGCTCTCATACCTACTACCTGTGAGGCTGCTAACAAGTTCTTTTTATATGTTATAAACTTAGCCTCTTCATTTGTAAATGGGTGTTTTAATGATTATTGCCTTTATGTGCCATGCAGGGCTGTTATCGTGCTTAGATGAACTAATAAATTCACATTAAGAAATTGATTTTAGGGGCGCCTGGGTGGCTCATTCAGTTAGTTAAGCATCTGTCTTCAGCTCGGGTCCTAGGATCCAGCCCCACATTAGGCTCCCTGCTCAGTTGGGAGTCTGCTTCTCCCTCTTTCTCTGCCCCCCCCCATTGTGCTCTCTCTCTCTCTCTCTTTCACTCTATCTCAAATAAATAAGTAAAATTTTTAAAAAAGAAATTGATTTTAATGATCAAATGAAATAATAAGTTAGTGTTAAACACTTGAAAGTTTTTAACTGAAGCATTTATATTTTATAGAAGATTTTATGTGCCCAAATCATTGAGAATTCCATGTGCATAATCATCCTAAAATCCATTCATCTAATGCAACAAATATCTGCTAATCCATTTATCTAATGCAACAAATATATAGAGCAATTACTCAGAGGTTCAAGCATATGCTATACCTTGGCAATTTGGAGATGAATAAAACAATGACCTTTCTTCTAGGAGATGACAATAAAGTGAGGGAGACAATCAAGTGAAGTCAATACAGTATGAGGAGTGATAATTCTTGAGGGTTGAACAAAATTATATGGAACCATAAAGAAAGTAGCAATTGACTATGATTCCAATAGATTCAGGTTTAGAATAAGTGTTCCAGGGTATGCCTGTGCATGCTAATACTAATGTTTTACAATTGTATAACCTTGTAAGTATATAAGGTCGTAAAGTCACTAAACGCTATTTTACTTCTGGGGCTAAAGTGAAGAAAGAATAAATACTCGGTATTTTTTCTGTTGATTCTGGCAGGGAACAAGGCTTCATATCAGTTGTCTTCTCACATTCTCTCCTTATCTTTCTATCTCCCTCCACCTCATCCACTTTCCTTTTCCTTTAGATTTCCCCACCTTCCTTTTTCCTTCTTAGGCATTCCGGCCTCAGAATCTTTGCACCAGCATTTCCTTGGCTGTGTTTCAGTGTTACATAAAATATTATCATCCTCTGCAAGGAATTGCAGTTCAGTTCAGCATACTGTGAGGAGGATAAAAGCCTGGTGATACCCATCACTCACATAAATTGCCCTCTCATGAATCTGAGGCAGCCACAAAATGCATGAATTAGTTCCTTAGATTTTTAAATAATTATTTTAGTTTATTTATTTATTTATTTATTTGAGAGAGAGAGCATGCGAGTGAGCATGAGCAGGGGGTAGGGGCTGAGGGAGAAGCAGGCTCCCCGATGAGCAGGGAACCAGACAGACAGAAGGACTCAGGGCTGGATCCCAGGACCCTGAGATCATGACCTGAGCCCAGGGCAGACGCTAAACAGACTGAGCCACCCAGGCACCCTTAAAACATTATTTTAGTTCACTTTTTCAATTGGATTATAAAATCCAAACAAACTGGGGAAGATAAAAAATACTTTTTGTTGAATTGCCTCCCATTGAGCACACCTAGTAACCCAGATTGAGAAGTATAATATTGCCAGTACCCCAGAACCTCTGCAGTGCCCTTTTCCAGTTACCATCTCCTCTTACTGTATGTACAGTGAAATGACACCTGTATACATGCTGCTTACAACATCTCTTTGGCATCATCTTTTTATTTGCTTTTACATTAACCTTCTATGTGCCTCAATCCCATAGTATCTAACTAGAAACTTAAAAGTATTTTTAAAAATGAGCTCTAGGTTTTAGGTGCCTTTGATTGTTGTAACAAAGTCTGTCTTAGAAACCCTAGCAAATCCCATAAAAAAATACAAAATATTTAAGAAAAATTTAACAAAAGATTTGTTATTTAAGAAAAATTTAACAAAAGATTTGTAAGAACCCTACCCTAAAAACTAAAACTATTGATGAGAGAAATAAAGGAAGATTTAAATAAATGGTGACATATATCATGGGTTGTAAGATTCAATATTATTAAAATATTATTTGTGCTTTTTTATAGAGAATGACAAGTTTATTTAAAAATCTATATGAAAATGCAAAGGAGCGAGAATAACTGAAACACACTTGGAAAAAGAAGAATAAAGCCAGAGTAGACATACTATCTGATTTCAAGACCAACTGTAAAGCTATAGTAATTAAGACAGTGTGGTATTAGTATAACCATAAGTAAATAGATCAGTGGAACAAAAAAGAGAGTGTCGAAATAGATCCATACATATATTGTAAATTGATTTTTGATAAAGATACCAATGTAATTCAATTGAGAGAAAAGAAAGTCTTTTCAACAACTGGTACAGAACAATTTGATAAACCTTTGGGGAAAAAATGAATCCTGACCCTCACCTCATATCCCATACACCAAAATAATTCAATATGGATTACAGACCTAACATAAAAGCTAAAACATGAGGGACACCTGGGTGGCTCAGTCAGTTAAGCATCTGCCTTCGGCTCAGGTCATGATCCCAGGGTCCTGGGATCAAGTCCTGCATCGAGCTCCCCGCTCAGCAGGAAGCCTGCTTCTCCCTCTCCCTCGGCCCCCTTCTTGTGCTCTCTCTCTCTGACAAATAAATGAATAAAATCTTAAAAAAAAAAAGCTAAAACATGAAATTTCTAGAAGAAAACATATGAGAATATCTTCACGACTTTGGGATAAGCAGAGAGTTCTTTAAGAGGAAACAGAAGACATGAACCATAAAAGAAAAAAAACACAATAAATTGTACTTCATCAAAGTTAAAAACTTTCATTCATCAAAAGCCACCATTAATAAAATGGAAAAGTGAGCCACAGACTGGAAAAAAATATTTGCAATACATGTATCTGACAGAGAATTTGTATCATAAGTATATAAAAAAAACTCCAATAAACCAATAATTAAAAGATAAATAACCCAATATTTTACATGGGCAAAACTCTTGAGTTGATACTTCACAAAAGAAGATACACAAATGACCAATAAGCACATAAAAAAGCATTCAGTATCATTAATCATCAAGGAAATGGAAATTAATACACAATGAGATGTCATTTCAAACCCACCAGAAAAACAAAAATCAAGAACACTGATGACACCAAATTTTGATGAGTTTGTGGAGCAACCAGAACATTTGTACCTTGTTAATGGGAGTATAAAATCATAAAACCACTTTGGAGAACTGTTATGCAATTTCCTATGTTAAATGCACATTTATCCTCTTACCCAACAATTCCACTCCTAAGTATTTGCCTAAGAGAAATGAAAGTGTATGTCCAGGAAAAGACTTTTACAATAATGTTCATAGCAGTTTCATTCACAATAACACAAACTGGAGGCAACCCAAATATATATACAGTTGAACAGATAAATTATGGTATGTCCATACAATGGAATATGCTAGGTAATAGAAAAAGTCTAAGAAAGATCTGAATGAAGGAAGTACAGATATTGGAGTTATTAGATCTGGACTCCAAAAAAACTAAGAATAATATGTCCAAAACATTAGATGACAGATGAAAAATTTAATCAGAGAAGTAGAAACTGTAAAAAAGAAAAAAGAAATTAACAAATAAGAAAGCAAATATACAATAGAAAGAATTAAAAGTAATAGTTCACTGTAAAAAACAGAAATCAGAGTAGTGGATGCCTCTACGGTATTGGGATGGACTTTGTTATAGAAGTTTGAACAGATTTTCTGGGGTAATGGAAATATTTACATCTTGAGTGGGGTATTGGTTACACTGATGTATATATTTGTCAAAGCCATTAAATCTTACATTTAAGATTTGTGTAATTCACTGTGTGTATCAACTTTTTTTATAGACTTTTTAAAAAATTTTATTTTATTATTTTAGTCACCATACATTACATCATTAGTGTTTGATGTAGTGTTCCATGATTCATTGTTTGCATATAATACCCAGTGCTCCATTCAATACATGCCCTCCTTAATACCCATCACCAGGCTAACCCATCCCGCCTTCTCCCTCCCCTCTAAAACCCTCAGTTTGTTTCTCAGAGTCCATAGTCTCTCGTGGTTCATCTCCCACTCCAATTTTCCCCCCTACATTTTTCCCTTCCTACTAACTTCTTTTTTTTTTTAACATATAATGTATTATTTGTTTCAGAGGTACACGTCTGTGATTCAACAGTCTTGCACAATTCACAGCGCTCACCATAGCACATACCCTCCCCAATGTCTATCACCCAGCCACCCCATCCCTCCCACCCCCCACCACTCCAGCAACCCTCAGTTTGTTTCCTGAGATTAAGAATTCCTCATATCAGTGAGATCATATGATACTTGTATTTCTCTGACTGACTTATTTTGCTTAGCATAATACTCTCTAGTTCTATCCACGTCATTGCAAATGGCAAGATTTCATTTTTTTGATGGCTGCATAATATTCCATTGTGTATATATACCACATCTTCTTTATCCATTCATCTGTTGATGGACATCTAGGCTCTTTCCACAGTTTGGCTATTGTGGACATGGCTGCTATGAACATTGGGGTGCAGATGCCTGTTTGGATCACTGCATTTGTATCTTTGGGGTAAATACCCAGTAGTGCAATTGCTGGGTCATAGGGTAGCTCTATTTTCTATATGTATCAATTTTTAAAAATTAATAAAAAATATTTTAGCAGAAGTTCAAAAGATGTCTAAGACCAGTACTTGACCTAAATGGTATTTGTAACTCTCCTAGGGACTTTCTCTATAGAGAGTTTTAAAATTTATTTATTTTTACTATGTACTAACATTCATATGGTTTAAAAAACAAGAAGCATTAAAAATAAACCCAGGAAAACAAAAACAGAGAAAAAAATAGTAAAAATTCTCACCGCCCCCATCCTGTTTCCCATCCTTCTAGTTTTCCTGCCCTGTAGGCGACTACTCCTTTCAGTTTTTTAAGAATTCTTCAATAAACTATGTAAAAACACAGGCCTGAAATGTTCACTTACAGTGATGGGGGTCAAGAAAACATGATGTTAAACATTAAATATCCTGTTGACAGTTGTGTAGCATTAGAACAGTTATTAGAAATTATAGCATTAGTTACTTGAAATGATAACATTAGAACTGAAGGTTCTGTTTGACCAGGTCTTTGTCCAAACTGGGGTTGTCATGACTTTTCAAAGCACAATTTCTGGAGGATTTTCACATGCTGTTAGGCTTCCTTGTGTAGTCAGGTTAGAAATGCTCTTTTTGGCTAGAACTCTTGCTATTCCTAACTGCTGAAGCCATCGTTTCTCTTTAAAGGCACTGCAAGAAAACAAGACAGTAATTTGTAAGGAAGTCCAATCTTGTCCCTATTTATTGCTGAAATGATAGAAATCTCTAGGCTGATTTTGTAGCTGCCGCTAGCTTATCTTGTCACCCAAGATAGGTTGTAAAAATAGAAAAGAGGAATCTTTCTCAAACTAGTTCCTTGTGAAGTAGTGGAAATGATATTTCACCAGGGCAATACTAGAAATTTGGCACCCACACCTAGAAACAGAAAACCATTCAATGTTATATAGAATTCTCTAGATGGAAACTTTTTCTGTTTCCCCAGGCATCCTTATACATCATATATTCCCTGACGTGTCTCCCTTCTCCTCCTTTTCCCCCAACACAAAAAGATATTTTGTTCATTGATAAAATATTAAATAGCGTTTTACCAAAATGCAATGAAATTTCATGTTTTATGGGAGCTATTCTCTGGCTATATGCTAATAAAGACTTATAGATTTGAATATGATGACTCCTACTTTGTAAGGTATAAATGTGATTTACTACAGAGGGGTCCTTTGAGATTCTATCCTTTGTCTTCCTCTCTCTCTGCACCCTCATCCTGGGAGGCCTTATTTACTAATTGCTTCAACTCACATATCCTTGACTCCTAAATCCTCACCCACACTTCCAATTTCCATGTCTTTTATCTTCTTCCTAAACCTGCCTCCTTTCAGTATCCCTGCTCTAACACAGCCACTTTGCTATCTCCTCACCATCTCTCCATCTGGAAACAAACCTCAATTCCTCCTTCTCTCTCGGCTTCTGCATCTAATTAGCGATCTAGTTTTGCAGATCATTGCTCAGAAATGTCTGTCATATTTGGCTTTTCTCCTCTTCCCTACCTACTTCTGCTCTAGTCCAGGTCTTTATCATTCCTTGATTCTTTTATTACAGCCTCCTAAATATACTGTAGGCCCTCCACATCTTCAATAAGACTTCTTCCCATCTCCACCAGATTTGTCTTCAAAAAGAAACACAAACTGATTATGTGACTTGCCTGATTAAAAAAAAAAACAAAAACAACTTCTGTGATCTCCCTACCTACTTCCTAAGAAGCAGACTCTCCACTTGGGCACACAAGATGCTTCTCAGTGTAGGTGCAATTTACCTTGCCAGTCTCATCTTCAGCCAGTTTCTCCCTGTCCCCTAAAATGCCTTTTGCAGATCCACTTACTTCATAGAAAACTAAGTTTCTCTCTGACTCCTTCACAAAACAGTGCCCTTGACCATGTTGCCACTTCTACCTGGCTCCTTTTGTCTGACAAAGTCCTTTAAATTTAAAGGGCTTTCACTAAATCTATGAGAAGCAATCTTGCATTAAAGTACCTTAGTGTTTCAAGTATTTGAACTCTGTCCAAGTTTGCCCAATTCATCATTAATGTTCTGGATTAACTCCTCGCTTTACCTTTGCATGGACTTCACTGTGACATAATAAGCACTTTAAAATGTTTCAAAAGTGCATCTTTAGATTTCTAACGTGCATCTGTTGATAAAACTAATCAGTTTCCTATGTTTACAGCCTGATTTTAAGATGGCTATATAATTTTTTCAACCAATCATTTTCTAGTCTTTTTCTAGAATTTTAGAATATCTCTTTTTATACATTCTAGTCAGAGCTATCTCACAAATTACAAAGATTGAAGTTGGTAAGCAGTTTTCTTCATCTTCTGTCAACCTCATTGTGCTGTCCGGAATTTTACCAGTTTTAGAGCCCAAATTACTCTGACCACTAGGTGGCAACAGCTTCACTGAAATAAGGTAGAGCTGAACTAAAGACCAATACAGATAGGCAACAGAAAACAATCTAGCCTTGTTTTGTTCTTTCCTTTTCATTATATTGAGTAGAGGGAAAAACTGCTCATAAATCTATATTTCTACTGTAATATTAACACCCAATAATACCTCATAAGTAATGGATGGGACCTGAGATCTGATCAGAGTTGTGTTTTCAGTGAAATATGATGACCAATATGCAAAAGTTTATCTTATGAAATGAATATACCTGAAAAGTCCACTCCTGACACGCTTGTTTTTGTCTTTAAATGTGACAATGGATTACTTTTTAAACTGACCTAAAATATTAATATCAACTCTATCACACTGACCCGTATAGATCTTCCCCAACCAGTATGTTTTGCCCAGTAAGTCAAGGGAAGTCTTTATGGTTGTTCTTTTCTCTCCTTCCACTTTCATCACCATCCAGTCTTCCATGACACTTTTGATGCCTCTCTCCCACACTTCAAGTTTCCCCCCTTCTCCCTTTAATTATAATTAACAATTCCTTATTAGTTAAAAAAAGAAGAACAAGCAAGAGACCTTGTTTTTTGATACAACTCTTTGCACTGTATCTCTTTTCTTTCTGAAAGCTTGAGGAGTCAGGTACTACACAGATTGGATTGGCCAGTAAAATGGGTTCATTTGGTCCTAGACGCAAGGCTAAGATGTGGTCCTTCAAGCTGGATACTGAGGCATTGGAACAACCTGCGTTACATTATATGGCATGGTAGGGCTTCATGGACCATTCCCTGCCTTAGACCTGCCCTATGAAAGGTTTGCCCTTGTATGTTTAAAGAGAAAACGTTACCTGGCCACTGCTAAGCAGTAGATGGCGTTCTCCCTTGGAGTCATACCACTGTGCTCTGAGAAACACGCCAAGGAGGATTTGAGTAAAAAGTCAGCTCTGGGTGTTGCATAGTAAAAAGATGGGTGTGAGTATCCCACTCTGGAAACTGGGGGGAGGGGGACTTGAGGGAGATATGTATTTTTTATGAGCTTTTCTTTTATCCCAGCTGTGGCAGTAATTTTTTTCCAATGCTGTTGTTGATGTCTTTGTAATTCAGAGAATGTAGTTGCATCTACGAGCGGAGGCAATTTCAAGGTTTGTTGTCTTGCGTCCTGCTGTGAAATTGCCAAAGGACTGACAGGTTTCCTGCTTGCAGTGTCTTCCCTGAGAGGTGGTAACTTGCCCACAGTGCTTTGTGAGTCCTTGTACCTAGCCTTATGCCAGCTCTTGGAGGTCATTTTTGGTGTGGTGAAACCATCCACCATCACGGTGTCTCCAACTTTTGCCCCAAAGACCCTTGCTCCGCAAAGCTGGCTTTTATTAAGGTTGTGACTCTGAGCTCTGAGGACCCATTGTTTTATTTTAATATAAATCCTCATGGGGACTGAAATTTTTGGAAAAGAAACTGTGGACCACATTTTACTCAATAAATATAATACACAGTCTTTATGCTTGTGTTTAAACGCAATAGTCAGGGGATTTTGTCCCGCTGCATTTTTACATCCCAGGCACAGCACGCTGCAGTTGACAAAGGCCTTCAGAATCAACAGTTGGCCCGCTTCTGCAGCTGCATGAATGGGGCATTTAGAGACATCTGCATGAAGGGCTTCATGGCACCATGCTCGACAGGGGTGAACACCAACAGCCTCTTCGGGCCGCACACCCTGCTTCAGGGCCCATTCAGTGAGCTCAATGTACCCATAAAAGGCGGCGATGTACAGGGCCACCTTTTTCTGATACCTGAATGAATGAAATAAGTAGGAGTGGGTGTTTAGTAAGTCAGCAAACTGATAAATGTAGTTACACTAAATACCCACAAAACATACTAGCTATAATGTTTCTTTTTTCCTAACTTTTACATAAAATGTCTTCAGAAAAGGCAGAGTGTAATATATAGGTTAAACTGCACAGGTCCTGGGGTGCCTGGGTGGCTCAGTTGGTTAAACGTCTGCCTTCAGCTCAGGTCATGATCTCAGGGTCCTGGGATCGACCCCCCTGCTCAGCGGGGAGTCTGCTTCTCCGTCTCCCTCTGCTTCTGCCCCTCCCCTCTGCTTGTGTTCTCTCTCTATCTCAAATAAATAAATAAAGTATTTAAAAAAAATAAACTGCACAGGTCCTGCTTATCCACATTATCCCACTATGCACAGGTAAATGGATCAAAGTGCTTTTCTTAGAGTGGTTTTCTTTCTTAAGAAACTCAGATGCTCAGGAAAAATATCAAGCTATCTATCTATATTTTTTTTAGCAAGGGAGGGAGAGAGAGGAGGGAGGGGTGGGGGAGAGGGAGGGAGAGAGAATCTTAAGCCCAGCACAGAGCCTGACATAGGACTTGATCTCAAAATCCTGAGATCATGACCTGAGCCGAAATCGAGAGTCAGACCCTTAAATGACTGAGCCACCCAGGCACCCCCTCAAGCTTTATATTAACTGGGAAAGTTTTGGAAGAAGTCCAGTATGCTTTAGAAATTTGAAAGTTCTGTATGTTTTTTTGTCTTTTCTAACAACAGTCTTCATTTTGGACTTCTCAAAGGCTCTACCTACTGCTATTCTCATCTAAACCAGTAGGTTGCGCCCCCGCCAGTACTACCACCAGTGCCATAGTCTAACTGGAGCTCCTCTTACTCCCCTCCAGTAACTTCCCCCTGCAACTGAAATCCTAACTCTTCACTTTGGCTTACAAGGCCTCTCACAGTCTGGCCCCTGCCCCACTTCCCACAACCCCCCCGCCCCTTCACTGTCACTGCACTACAGCCACACTGGCCTTCCTACTATCCCTACAATACCCCATAAGGCATAAACTGAATGACTGGTGCAGGCCGTTCAGAGGGGTAAGAATTAGGGAGGCAAACCTGGACAGGGTCCACTAGGTATACAGTAATATATATGCAGGATATATTTGGGCATGGCTATCTGACCCCATTGTAGAGATGGAGGCAAACTTGCTTGCTATCATCCAAAATCCACTGTATATAACTGACTATCCTCTCTCTGATTACATGCTCACCACACCATCTTTTGATGTGTATGTGGCTTCTTGTGTAAGGAAGATGACCTGCCCAGAACATGTGGGTCTCCAGGACTCAGTTAGATTATAATCGTGGTGGTTACATTATAACTAATTAGAGTGATTACATTAACACCCTGGCATTTTGGTTCACACATCAGTTTTTTTCCAAAATTCATTAATGCAAATCAGCGTCTGAATGTGATCCGTTTTCTTGATTTGGGGAGAAGAGCCCCTCTTTGGGTGGACTAACTGGCCTTTGCTTTCATCCTTAGCACTGATGTTATGGGAGCTAGAGGCACTCTTGTTACTGAGACAAATTGATTCTCTTTCCTAAATGGATCTTGGCACAGTGGTTTATGCTGTCATAAGCCTAGTTTGGGCCACTGTTACCTCTTCACTGTCACCCTGTCCGCTGCCTGCCTCTATTGCTTACACTGCAACCAGGGCCAATGTTCTAAAACTCAGATCTCATGCTGGCTTTTCTCTACCTTCAATATCTTCCCAACACTGAAAATATAATGTCCAAATTCCTTTACATTCCTATGGGTACCTGCAAGAGCTCTAGCCTCTGGCCACTAGCTCCCTCTCACTCTACGATCTACCATGTGGAACTTGTTTCAGTTCCTTGAATCTATTCTCTTGCCCCTTGGGGCTTTGTACACGTGGTTCCATTTGTTTTGAAAAATCTTTTTTTTCCTCCCTACTGTTTACCTAAGAACCAACCCTTTAGATCTCATCAATTGCCTTTTTTCAGGATGCTTCACCTGAACCCCTAAGTCTAGTTAGTTGTCCATACTATACAGTCCCATATCGTCTTGCATTATGTCCGTGTCCTAACACTTTCACACTGAATGGTAACAGCAACAACACCTAACATTTACGTCCTGCTTACCATGTGCCAGCCCCCGCTTCTAAATTCCTATGTTTACTAGGTCATGCAACCTCTAAAACAGTTCTATGAGATAGATGCAATTATTATTCTCTTTCTAGCAAAGAGGAAACTGAGATACAGGATGATTATATAACTTGCCCAAGTTTACACAACTAAACACTTAGGGATGGGGCTTTGAAGCTAGGCAGAAGGGCACTGGAGTTTGTGCCCCTGAACATTTTGCAATTCTGCTTCTGAAGGAATTGGTTACTTGTTTTCTGTGGCCCCTGCTGGACTGCAAGTTGCTGAAGGCAGGGTCCATATCTTGTTTACTGCTGTGTTCCTGGGATCTTGCATGGTACTTGCTCAATGGGTATTTGCTGATTGGGTGACAGAATAAAAGGAGCTTTTTAGTTTGTTTGTGTGTATTTTCTGAGCTGTTAGACATATTTTCCCTCTTTTTCCCCTCCTCCCTTTGTGCCTTTCTCCATTCTGTGTGTGTGTGTGTGTGTGTGTGTGTGTGTGTGTGTGTGTGTTGTTTAAGCATGATGAGAAATACAGATAGTGTGGGCAGGGAGATTTCAGGCTGGGAACTGATCACCAGAGCCGATAGGCCTGGAGCAGAGTAAGCACGTGGCCCACCTGGGTCAGCTGGGCTGTGTGCATGTTGGGAACAGGGTCTGAAGCAGGCATGTGGGCACACCCCTGCTGCTCACCCTCCTTAGATTTTATCTAAAGGTTAAGTCAAGTGGAATGGTTAAGCATCTGAGCATTAGAGTTAAATTGCTGGGATTCCATATCCAGTTGTGACCTGGCTAGCTGTGTGACATTGGTCAGATCTTAATGTCAGTTTCCTCATCTGTAAAACATGATAAAAGAGTATCTACCTTGTAAAATTGTCATAAGTATAAGATTAGGTAATACATGTAACAGTGTCATGTTACAACGTACTCAATAAATACGCACTATTAAAAGTAACGCAACGTGGCAATTTCTTTGGATTTAGAGCATGAGAAAAGGGAATTATCACTATCCCCAAATAGAAATTACTTTAAAATATTGAGTATTATGTAAAATCGCAAAACCTGGTTTTCTAATCTGTCACTTCTTATTTTAATTTTTTTAAGATTTTATTTATTTATTTATTTGACAGAAAGAAACAGCAAGAGGAACACAAGTGGGGGCGGGGAGCTGAGAGGGAGAAGCAGGCTCTCCACTGTGCAGGGAGCCCAATGCAGGGCTCGATCCCAGGACTATGGGATCATGACCTGAGCCAAAGGCAGCTGCTTAACCCACTGAGCCACCCAGGTGCCCCTCTAATCTGTTACTTCTTAGAGCCCTTAGAGCTCTTGGTGCATCTGTGGGCTTCTGTAAAGCATGATGAAATCACCAGGAGGGAGCACTGTCCGAAAATACCACTGAATTAAAACCTTAAGAGTAATGCAGCTTACACGTTTGGGACCCTGCTGACTGCAGAGTTATGCCAAAATGACCACCTGCGGGGTGCCTGGGTGGCTTAGTCATTAAGTGTCTGCCGTCGGCTCGGGTCATGATCCCAGGGTTCTGGGATCGAGCCCCACGTCAAACCCCACATCGGGCTCCCTGCTCTGCGGGGGGCCTGCTTCTCCCTCTCCCACCCCCTCTGCTTGTGTTCCCTCTCTCACTGTGTTTCTCTCTGTCAAATAAATAAATAAAATCTTTAAAAAAATAAAATAAAAATAAAATAAAATGACCACCTGCTACTCTGGGCCTACTGCCCAGTGCCCCAGCCACATATGTATGGCAAAAGTATGTACAAAAGGCTTGTACTAAAAGCAATTTGAAAAATTACTTGGGAGCTTAGGAAGAGGGAGCCAGAATTTTCAGCCAATCAGTTAGCAATTAGTGCTTTTTAGAATAATTGAATATGAAGGTGGCAAGGTACTTATTCGGATAGGCTTTAAAAGTGCTGTGAAGAGTCTGATTTCCAAACCAAACTGAAGTCACTCAATTAGATAGTTAGCATTTCTTGAAGAAAGTCTACCTGAATTGCAATACATCACCAAAGGCTGTCGGCCCTGGTGACAATCCTGTCATCTTATCTCAGCAAATATCTCAATAATAAAGTCTGGTTGAGACATGCTCAGTGGCACCGGCATGGTGCAGCAACCCAGCTATAGAGTGAATTGCAGACTCAACATCCTAAAGAAGTTTAGTAAAAAGTACTTAATTTAGCATTTGCTTTATCTCCGTACTTGAGTACTGGTCCTTCATTTGATAAATAGCGTTGGACTTTAAGTTTTTGTCCCAGAAGACAACCCATCAGAAATTCCTTCCATCCATCCCAGACGTCCAAACGAAGTGTCATGCCTGTGGATCAAGAGAGGCCATTAATGGTTCCAGTCCCTCACTGTGGTTTGGCAATCCATAAAACTTCTAAGGATAGCTTTTTTTCCAAGCAGAGGCATAAGCTAGATGCAAACTGAGAAGTAACCTTGGAATAAGTAGACAGGGATGCTATTTTCAGCTTAGGACTGCATTGACTTGAAAAGCCATTTAGCTTCTGTGCACTTCCATTTTCTCATCTGCACAGTGATTGCATATAATGCTGAAATGTTTTCTACAGTTACCTGAAAACAGTCCTGTGGACATTGATCCCATGCTGATATACATCACCATGTAAACTAAAACCATTATATTGAAAGAGGAAACTAAAGAAACTGTGGCAGGACTAATGGGCTTTTGGGGTCTTTAGCTCACAAGCAGGCTGTGAGTGGAGTTGAATGATCCTTTCATGTTTTTTTGTTTTTAACGATTTTATTTATTTATTTGACAGAGAGAGAGCACAGCAGAGGGGAGCGGCAGGCAGAGGCAGAGGGAGAAGCAGACTCCCTAAGGAGCAGGGAGCCCGATGTAGGGCTTGATCCCGGGACCCTGGGATCATGACCTGAGCTGAAGGCAGACGCTCAACTGACTGAGCCACCCAGGCGCCCCTGATGCTTTCATTTTATCCATCGCAGAATAGCCATTCTGTGTAATTACACAAAAGTAATATGTTCATTGCTGCTGGAGAATTTATCACTTACCCTCTCCTGGTCTACTTTCTGTGGCACCACATTCCCTTTGTTCTTCTGGGTGGTGTTTTTCAGGAGTCTTCTTTCTTCAGCCTTCTCTTCTCTTCACACGTTCCTTCAGGATAAAGGCCTTCCCTCACCTCTCACCCCCCTCCAGCCTGCCTCACTCCCTCCGTTCCGGCCACTCTGATCTTTCACCTGTCCTTCAGACACACCAAGTCCACTCCACCTCAAGACCTAAGGATATAATTTCTTTTGCTTCAAAGAGTGTTATTCCAGATTTTCACAGGTCAGTGGTTTTCAATTCAAGCATCATGTCCTCATAGAGGACCCTCTTGGCCCCCACTGCCTTCCCCAACGGCATTATTTTTTATCCTATGACCTGATTTTAACTTCCTCATAGCTCCTATCATCAGTATTTGAAATCATTTTTCTTGTTTGGAGACTTTTTTTTTTCATGTCCCCACTAAAAAGAAAGCTCCTTCAAGACTTGCCACACAACCTGGCACTTGGGGCGTGCTCATTAAATACTTGTTGGCTGACTAACAGGCAATCTCAGTGACCCTACTGGCTTCACTGGCCACCCACATGTATTCCTTCCCAAGTCCAAACCTCCACACCAGGCTTCTGCTCCAGCTCCAGATTCCCCCTGCTGGGACATCACCATCTACAGGATTGCACTATGACCTCATCGTTCTGAAAGACAACTCGTCATCCTTTATCTCAGGTGGTAGCACCACTATCTTCCTTGTTACCTCAGTAGACATTTAGGAGTTGGTCTTTGTCCTTCCCTTTCTCATGCCCTACATCTGTACAATAGCTCAGGCCTGTAAAGTTTATCTCATGAAGGTTTAAGAACCACTTCCTTTCCTCCATCTTACTAGCTCCACCCTACTTCAGGCCTCCATGATCTTTCACATAAATCTACTTCTGGAAGCTCCCACCAGCCTCCCCATCTCTTTATTCCAGTCTGCTCAAATGTCATCTCCTCCTCTGGGTAAGCATCTAAAATAGCCTCCCCCACCACATTACCACATAACTCTCTGTTACCATATCCTGGTTTGTTTTTTTTTACTTTAGAGTTCTTATTTCTATTTAAAATTCACTGTTTTTCTGTTTCCTTAATGATGCTTATGTTTCCCACTGAACTGCAAGCTTCAAGAGGGTAGGATATCTTGCTGTTCTTGCTCACACTGTTATGCCCACTTTCCTCAATGCTGCCTGGCTCATGGTAGATATCAGTAAATATTTGTTGAATGAAATTCTACCCTAGTCCCCAAATCCATTTTGGACATGTACTGCCCTCCTCACCCTTAGCAGCCCAGCAGGCTGTCCTGCATTTCTGTGTGCACACCAGGCTATATCTGGCCTTGGGGCTTCTTTTGCTGCTCTTTTGGTGTCTGAATTCTTATGATTCTTCCCCACACCCTCCTACCAGTAGTTTATGATGCAACATAAACTGGTATCACCTCCTCCGGGAAGCTCTTCTTAACTGTGTCATTGTCTCACCTCTGCAAATAGTTAAAAGGATCGCTCAACTAGCTACCATAATGTATGTTGAAAATGTATGTTGAAACTGTTTATCAGGGCGCCTAGGTGGCTCAGTCGGTTAAGCGACTGCCTTTGGCTCAGGTCATGATCCTGGAGTCCCAGGATCGAGTCCCGCATCGGGCTCCCTGCTCAGCGGGGAGTCTGCTTCTCCCTCTGACCTTCTTCCCTCTCATGCTCTCTCTCTACCATTCTCTCTCTCTCTCTCAATAAATAAATAAAAATCTTTAAAAAAAACCTGTTTATCATTGAAAATACATTTCTAGGAGTGCCTAGGTGGCTCAGTTGGTTAAGCGTCTGCCTTAGGCTCAAGTCATGATCCCAGGGTCCTGGGATTGAGACTGGCATTGGGCTCCTGGTTCCATAGGGAACCTGCTTCTCCTACGCCCTCTGCCTGCCGCTCCCCCTGCTTGTGCTCTCTCTCTCTCTCTCTGTGTGTGTGTCAAATAAATAAAAATCTTAAAAAAAGAAAAAAAAGGAAAGTACCTTTCTGCTTTGGAATTGCTAGTTTGTAAACACTAATGGAGAACTCTTTGAGCCCAGGCATCATGTCTCATCCAGTCTGTGGGCTCTGTTCTAGTTATGCTTTTGGGTTGCAAGGAGGCCCTCAAGAAAATGGGATTTATTATACTGAGACAATGGCCAGATCTGTTGTACATTAGGAACAAAGGCACCTCTCAAGATGGGCCACTCCCCTTCTCTCCCATGGGCTCCAGGATCTCTCTCTCTCTCAAGCCCTCTATATCTCTGTGTCTTCTCCCTTTCTCTGCTGACAGGCAGCCCTGCGGCTCCCAGGTTCTGTCCCACCGTAACTGAGGTCTGCATGCAACATTGCTTTGGCCACGACCCAACCTTTCTTCATGGCACCATGCATTTTCTGTCCATACTGGTAACCAGTTTTGTCTCTCTATATTTCCCAGTTTGAATTCACAAGACTAATGATAATTAATAATAATAATAATATATTGAATATGAATAGCTAATATTCACTGAATTCTTATTATATGCTCAACATTATTCTAAGTACTTTATATGAATAAGCTAATTTAAAATTTACGACAATCCTAAGTGTGGTTTGTATTATTCTCTCCATTTGACAGTTGAGGAAACTGAGGCAGTATGAGATTAAGTAACTTGCCTGGGTTTTACATACCCAGTAAGTAGTGGAATCAGGAGTTATACCTAGGCAATCTGGCTCTTGTGCCTACATTCCTGTCCTCTAAGTTATCTTTGTCTCTGAACAAGAATTTAATTGACTGATGTCATTGGACAATCTGTAGATTGGCTGGCTGCTTTGAATCAGTATGATGACATTGGCAGTAGAACCTGGGGGTATATTCATGACTTTGCTTGTCCATACATATCCTCAGACTCAGACACATAATAGGTTCATAATAAATACTTGCTGGTATTTATCATCCTTGACACCATAGATTTAGTTTCTCTAAAGCTTCTTGCTGTACTTAATTTTCTTATTTAAAGGTTTGATTCCTATGGGTAACATTGGAAACAAGGGACTTTAAACACTGTTCAAATTGCATTTATTTCATCTCCTGACTTAAACGATTTGCTATGTTTGTAGTTTACTATAAAAATTACCCACAGATGAGTATTAAAAAGCTTGCTTGGCACTGTACCCCAGCCTCCTTGGTCCGCCACAGCTGAGGCCACACAGCCTTCATTTTGAAGAACCAGCCAAGCTTTAGGCCCAGAGAATAATCTTAATTCCAGTAAGAGGGAATATGTTAAGATTCCAGGCTCAGGTGGGAAGTTGGTGTTCCTGTCCATCCTGTGTGGATATTGTCTCAGTTCTAATAACTTGCCCTATTCCTCCTGACCAAGCTCCCACCTTGTGCCCCAGAACATGAGTGCCTATATCCTACCCTACCTTTTGGGTTTTAGAACTGAGGTCCATCTGTTCTCTGAGCCTGGAACTGAAGTTCCTACTCTGAACCCCAATCTCTGGGGTTAGATTTGTTACATGTTGTCAGAGCCTCTGATATCAACAACCAGCTTGTCTAGTATTTCACCTCTTATGTCATTCATTTATTTATTCATTTGCTACCTTGATGCTCTGCTATGATTCATTCACCCACCAGGTCCCTGCTAGGTCTCCCTGAGGTCAACCTCCGCCTTCCTGCATCTAGTTGCAGACTGATTGGCCTGCCTATCCCAGGGCTCCCACCAGCAGGACTTATTTGAAACTAACTTCCCTCTTCCTGGCCCATCTGCCCTTCCCTAAGTGGTTGTCTAGTCTCAGGATCTCAGCTCTTCCTAGCTCAACCTGTCCACTATTGATGAACCCTGATTTTGAAAACTCCAGAGAAGCCTATACGATTTAAATCCACATCAGCAGGAGGACACCTCCATCAAGCTCTGTATTTTATTCTGCTTTAATTCCCTATCTGGGAGCAATTGTTACAGGTTTTGTAACTATCAATTTCAGTTCCTTGCAATGAAGCAGTCCTAATTTCTCAAAGAACAAAGGTAACAATGGCTGGTTTTTCTCTTAATGCTCAACTTTTGAATATCCAGCGAACTTCTTTTCTTTTTTTTTTATTTTTAAAGATTTTATTTATTTATTTTTGTGAGAGAGAGGGAGAAAGAGAATGAGCACAAGTGGGGGAAAGGGCAGAGGGAGAAGCAGGCTCCCTGATGAGCAACGAGCCTGATGGGGGACTTGATCCTAGGACTCATGACCTGAGCCAAAGGCAGATGCTTAATTGACTGAGCAACCCAGGTACCTTATCCAGAGAACTTCTAAGCAAGTTAACCAGCACCATTTATTGGATAATCCTTCCATCCCAATTGGTTTGTAATGCCTCTTTTGTCACATGTTAAATTCCTTCATAAGCTTAGGAATTCTGTTGGAAAATAGAAATTTACTTGAAAAATGCTACATTGCTGCAGAAAATACAACTAAAATCTATAACTGAAAGGAAAGTAAAACTAATGAGACTTAAACTTCAGGGCCTTTCACTACATGAGTTTTTAAATTCTCTATTCTTAATTTTGGATTTTTTTTAAAGAAGACCCCCAAGATTGTATATATCTACAAAATCTGGGTCTGCTCACTTTCTACTTGCAAACCATCACTGTGCCAAGCCATGCAGGAAAGCAGGTATGAGCAGCAACACCCATTCTAGGGAATTGTCTCCAACCTCTACCCATGTGGTCCTTGTATCCCTGGCGGGGGGATACGTACTTTGAGGTCAATATCTGCCTATCTGATTTGAGATTTTTTCTTCCTGAATATGGAAATCATTTCTCTGGTGTGGGTTTCCCCTAATGGGAAACAAAACATTGATCAGAACTTAAAGAGTACCAATAAAAGTAGATATCGATAAAAGCATTCTGGGTTGGCAGTATAAATTGTTGGAAAGAACCCAATCCTGAGTGTGTGATTACCATTTCTTGGCAATATGACCTTGAGCAGGTCACTTCTCTGAGCCTGTTTTCTCACCTATAAAAGGAATTAAAATAACATGGTAAATCTCGAAGGGGCCTAAAGGTTGGTAGAGGGGCCTTGGAGCCAGCTGAGATTTCAAGGTCTGAACTGCCAAGACTCTGCTCCTGGAATAGTCTCTCAGATGTGATTGCTCATTCTGGCCATGAATATGTGCCGTGAGGCATTTACCATTGGCATATACCAATGACAGCATTCTGTAAAGGAAAGGCATTCATTCATTCATTCGTTAGGCACACCTTATTCCAGAAAGAATTAATGTCAGTTTTTAAGCATATAGAAAATATAAACAGAGTGATTAGCAGACAAGCATGTAAGTAGATAAGCAAGAGGAAAGTGAAAGTCAGGATAGACATTTAAGAACTAGAAATGAGGCTAAAATGAATATTTGTCCCATATACGGTGGTATGAGAAAAGGTGTGTGTGTGCGTGTGTGTGTGTGTGTGTGTGTGTTGGACCTATATGATGTGCCACTAAGCCTCAGGTCACAAAATCACATATATTAGGGAATGTTTAGCTTTGATAAATTCTTGATAAGTTAATCATTAAATATTCTACCACCAAAAAATCCGTTTATCCTCTTATTACATATCTTCTCAATCCCTGCAATCTTTCTGTCTCCAACCACTTTATTAAAACTGCTCTATCTGGGTTCACCAATGACTTTTAGGCCAAATCAAAAGGTTTTTCTCAGACATTGTCTTTGGCCTTTCACCAGCACCCTAAAAACAGTTTCTGTCATCTGTGACAATGCAAAGTCCCACGTTTCCTCCCACCTCTGATGGCTTTGGATGTCTCAGTTTCTGACTCCTATTCTGTCTATTTGCCCTGACTTCAGCATGTCCTGACTACTGGCCCTTGGCCCTTGACATGTTTCTCTCTGTATATACTCTCTGAGGAAAGCACCTCTCACAGGGCTTACTTAGTCCCTGACTCCATGGCTGGGTGCCTACAGCAATGTCTGCTAACCGGACCCATCACTAAGCCCTCACTCCACGTTTGTCATGGAGGAGAATCAGAAGATGTCATTTGGACTTACAGCTTTGCCACTAATTAGCAGAGTAACTTTTAGGGGAAAAAAACCATACTCTCTGCATTTCTTTATATCTAAAGTTTAGTACCCAAAGCATAAGCTCTTTTTCCCAATTTCACCACCATAGTCCTAGTGTCAGAGCCTTGGTGCTTCCCTCTTCTTAAATGTAATTCAGCCTGACATCCTGTCTCTACTTTCTGGGTTTCTCAGATTTGTCTCTCTCTTCTATTGCTAGTGGAATTAGTTAATACCAGGATTCTCAAAAGTGCCTGTTGGCATATCACCTTGCTTCTCCCCCTCACTCCTTTCTGTATTTCATGCTGCTTGCTACCAGATTAAACTTCTGTTAAAACACTTCTGTTCCAGAATGTACATGGCTCTGGTTGCGAGCATATGAAGCCTGTGCTCTGTTGCCTCAGCCCTAAGACCCTTCTCAATCTGACCCCGTTGTGTTTCCGATTGGTCTCAGTGAGGCTCCTCCACTTTTCAGAAGTCTCCTGCTATTTGTCTTCCCTGGAGTAAGCCCATGTTCATGAACCTGTAGTTTGTGTTTTTCTCCTGGCTTAGAAGCCTGCAATGTCTTCCCTTTCAGATTTCCATATTTCCCACATCTTTGTGTGCTCACACCCAGCATTCTCCAGAATACCTTCCTTAAGCCCTTCAGCCTACATTGAGCTGACTTACTACTATAACTAAGTATATGTGCATGTCTTATTTCTACCACTTTATTATGAATGCTCAGAGTGCAGAGGTAGATCTGTGTGTTTTTATATGAGCTAATATGTCCTGTGACTAATTGAGCTACAGAAGTCCTTGATTTTCAGTATGAACTTGACTGCTTCTCAGAGACCTTCTGATTTTCCACTGCCTTTGGAAAGGCATCAAAGTTCAGCTCCTGAAAGCATCAGGGGTGACTTCATTGACTGGGAAGGAGAGAACCTGGAAGATAGGCTAATCAAGAACTTCTTTACCCTCTAGTTAAAAAAAGGTGGGCTGGGGCACCTGGGTGGTTCAATCGGTTAAGCATCTGCCTTCTGCTCGGGTCATGATCTCAGGGTTCTAGGATAGAACCCCTGTCCCTCCCCACACTCTCTCTCTCTCAAATGAATAAATAAGTAAAATCTTAAAAAAAAAAAGAAAAAAGGTGGGCTGGCTGCTTGAGGAATGCTAGGGCTGCTTTAGGTGAAGATATGAAGCCAACCAAAGACTTTTCCTCCCTTCTCTTTGAGGCTCTTCTTTTCTTGCCTCTCCTCCTATGCTCTGTGTTCTCGTGGTGGCCAAAGCAGTCTACTCTGGTCATGCTTGAGCCCCTGACCTTTCATTTGAAAACCCTCATTCCTAGAGGGTCATTTTAGGAGGCCTGTGTGTTGTCCTTCACATACCCTTAACTATCTGGAACATTTTTACTTTCTTTAAATCTGTAAAAATTTGGGATTGGGCCAAGCCATTTCTAAATTCTCTTCTAGCTCTAGCTCTAAACTGTTACATCATGATCTGAGCAGCATAGGCCTAAAGAGCAGTCACCCTAATTTTTTTATGTATTCTTTTGTGTTCCAGTAAATAACTAGATCATAAATTGCTTGGGAACAAATCCCTCTTGTGTGTCCTTACTCACATAAGCCCCCACCATGTTCTGGGCAGGTCTGATTCCCTGGCAAACATTAAAGCAGTATGTGCTTTACTGTGAGGGACTCTGGGGACAAATCCTAGAACATCACTTCCTTTGATCAAAAACAGGGATGAGGGCACCTGGGTGGCTCAGTTGTTAAGCGTCTGCCTCCGGCTCAGGTCATGATCCCAGGGTTCTGGGATCGAGCCCCGCATCAGGCTCCCTGCTCGGCGGGAAGCCTGCTTCTCCCTCTCCCACTCCCCCTGCTTGTGTTCCCTCTCTCCTGTCTCTCTCTGTCAAATAAATAAATAAAATTTTTAAAACAAAACAAAACAAAAAAACAGGGATGATAAATGATGTCAAAGTTTTGAGAGCCTCAGTTAAAAATATCATGAAAGAATAAGCAAATATAATAGTCAGGAGAAGTAACAATAGCTGCAAATTTAGCAGTTGTAAAAAGCAAAACTGCTTAATTCAAGGATGTTTACAAAGCCCTACTATAAATTGGGAGAACTCATATTCCATTGCAACAAATGTGACAGCACAACATTACATAAGGGTCTGCTGATTGTCGGCAAAGATTCATTCACCTCAAGCAAGAATCTCTATAAGGTTTGAACCATTTTCCAATAGGGTTAAAACAATCTGAAAGTCTTTTGAGTTTGTCTTAATGGTGTATGGCTACAGTAGACACAACCTGGAAGTATAATATGTAAAGAAAGGTTGTAATCTGTCTGTCAAGAGATGAATGCCAGCTCACTAATCTATCCATCAGGTATACTGCACAGTAGCCGCTTCACACTATTTAAAATATTGATATAACTGACAGTATTTTAAAATGAGATTACATAAAGCAAGCTCAGGACATTGTGTAGCATATGCTACCTCTGTGTTAAAAGGAAGAAAAAGAATGTGTACTTGAACTTGCTTCTATGTATTCTTGAAATATATTTTGAAAGGGAAAAATATAAACTGGTCTGAGTCTTGCTCTTCTAGTCTGAGGATATTAACAAGTTATCCTGCTTTGAGTAAGGAGAACAAGACATGGCAGGTCCACGGGGCATTTCTTATTTTTTAGTCCACTGACCTAGATACCAGAGAGGGGTGTTGATAATTTACATGCCCACTGAGGTTACAGAAGTTTTGGTTTGGAAAGAACTCCTCCATTTGTTGCCAATCTGGTATCAAAGAACCGTAGTGCCGGACACCTGGGTGGCTCAGTCGTTAAGCGTCTGCCTTCGGCTTAGGTCATGGTCCCAGGGTCCTGGGATTGAGCCCTGCATCGGGCTCCCTGCTCCGCAGGAAGCCTGCTTCTCCCTCTCCCACTCCCCCTGCTTGTGTTCCCTCTCTCACTGTGTCTGTCAAATAAAAAAATAAAATCTTAGAAAAAAAACTGTAGTGCTGAGCAGTAGCCAGTACTGAATATTGTGGGCAGTACCGATGTCTGTTTGGTAGTCCCTCAGGGTGTTGCAGTCATACATCTCCAGTCCGTCTGGGGTCCGGAGACAGAAAACACTCACAGGGAAGCCACATCTCAGAGCTACCAGGGTTCTCAGATCAGACACTTTTTTACCAAGAAGGGAAATGTTCTCCATCATTGGCATTGTCTCTTGGGTCACAGCATTAAACACATAGAGAGTTGGCTTGTCTTCTTCCTAAGGGAAAAGAAAAGGAGGAAACTCAGGAATAAACACTGTCTGGGGGTTGGAACAAGGGAGAAACATTTTGGAGGGTGGCTCTGAGTGCCTCTTACTCCCATGACATGGGTGCTAAGGATGAAAGCGAAGGCCAGTTAAGTTCCCTGACTTTTTTTTTTTTTAAAGATTTTATTTATTTATTTGACAGAGAGACACAGCGAGAGCAGGAACACAAGCAGGGGGAGTGGGAGAGGGAGAAGCAGGCTTCCTGCTGAGCAGGGAGCCCGATGTGGGACTCGATCCCAGGACCCTGGGATCATGACCTGAGCCGAAGGCAGACGCTTAACGACTGAGCCACCCAGGCGCCCCAAGTTCCCTGACTTCTGGTCTGACTCCTGTTCATCTGTCCTGAGACTATTGAGGAGTCCTCCTGTTTGAGTAAAATGAAGGAGGCTTGGCAGGATTTTGCGACCCTTATTCTTAGTCTACAGACCAGAAACACAAGAGGAATGTTAATAATTATATACAAGCTGCACTTCTGGATGTGTTAGTTGAGAAACAATGCTACCGTCATGTGCTTGATTTGGAAGTACTATTGTATCTAAATCTTCAGTCAATTTTTAAAATCCTTTCTGAGAGTTTATCTCTGGGGAGTGGAATGGAGTTCAAGTCGGGGGGATGTTTTGCTTATCATTTTAAGCTTTTCATTGTTTGTTGGTTTGACTTTAAAAAAACATGTATTTTTACTGTTTAAAAAGGGAAGTTCTAAATATAAGTGACAAAAAGTTTCCTTTTTTTTTTTCTTTTGCAATCTAAATAGGAAAGCAAGTGGAACTGATATATCTCAAGTCGAGTTAAGATGGAAAGTTTGGGAAAAATATTAATCCTCCTGTTAACAACAGAAGAATTAAGCCAAACCAAAACTAAAAACACAGCAAACTGGGAAAATGGGAAATGGGCAGAGAGAGAAGACTATTAATATTTTCAGTTTTCAAACCAAAAAATGAAGCTGGCTTTACTTCCTCTTTATTGGATTCAGGACAATCATGTTTGTCTTCAGTGGCCTCTTTTCGGCTTGGCAGGTATGAGGGTGCAGGGTGCTGTCACTGTAACCACTGTAACCACCGTAACCATTGTAACGTGGGAGTCTTGGAGAGGAGCCTTAAGCAAACTGACAAGTGGGCATGGGTTTGTCAAGGGGGCTCCAGGCAGTCATTGCTCTCTTGTTCAGCCCTGTTCAGTCCTCCCTTTCTCCTATCAAAATTTGCCTCCAGGGGCGCCTGGGTGGCTCAGTCATTAAGCTAATGCCTTAGGCTCCGGGTGTGGTCCCGGGGTCCTGGAATCGAGCCCCACATTGGGCTCCCTGCTCTGCGGGAAGCTTGCTTCTCCTTCTTCCACTCCCCCTGCTTGTGTTCCCTCTCTCGCTATCTCTCTCTGTCAAATAAATAAATAAATAAAATCTTTAAAAAAAAGAAAGAAAAACTTAAAAACAAAAACAAAAACAAAAACAAAATTTGCCTTCAGATTCCCCAGGAGCCCCTCCCTGCTTCAGGCTTATAATATATTACTTCATTCCCCTCCTCCCAGATCACACATTGCCGTAACATAATCAACACGCAGATCTCTTTGAAAGAGGCTTTAATGAGTAATGAATATTATTGTTGAACGATTAGGCTGCAGTGCTTTGATCTGGGGCCCACTTCAGTGACTCAAATCACCAAAAGCAGTTTCCGACCCTCTGCTTCCTGAGTCCAAACTGCTTAGGACAATTTTTCTCAACAGCTTCTCATAAACCCATGCAATAAAAAATTGAAAAGACATAGGATTTACCCTTTCCCTTTCAACCTGCTTATGCTTTCCTATGGCTCCATTAAAGTCCAACCTAATCTATGTGATATTTATAGGCAGGAAGAAATTCCTATGAAAACTAAATAAAAAGATAGGGGGGAAGAGAGACAAATTATATTTTAGGCAATAGCTTTTCCTTATTTCTTTTATGGTTACTCTGATTTCTTGTTTAGCCTTTGGTACGGATACAAATTTATACTTAAAATTAAATGTGTAATGTGCAAACAAAGTAGCAAAGGCCCAAGTCACTCTTCATAGCGAACTAGAAACTACGTGATGTTAGAAGAGTAAGTTAAAAAGGAGCTTCTCAGAATAAGAATAAACATAAGCATCTATGACCTTGGTATACATAAAACTCTGAAACAAGTAATAAGGGAGAATTGCAAAATATATAGGAATGTTTAGATGAAAATCAAAAGTGCAAGTAAGAAAATATGTTAGTAATTAATGGAGCTAGGTTCTTAAATTGCAAGAAAATTAACACGTACAGAGTTTGTTCTTTCTTTCTTTTTTTTTTTTTTAGCCCCCAGGAACTTCCCAGGCCCATTTAATTCATGATGTATCTGAAAATAGTTCTCTTTCTACTATTTTAACTCTATTTATCCACCATTTCATAAATCTTATTTTTGTGAGAAAACTCATTTTATGTTCTAATGAGGCACACCAGTTGGAGACGTTGGAGACACTTCTTCATGTTGGTTATTTGGAGAGCGAGCAGATGGGTGTGGATTAACAGCAACTTGTCAACTCACCTTATGTACATAAGAAAAGGCATCTCTCTATATGATACCCCTCCTCGAATATTCTAAATAAGGAACACTGGTAGTTACACTCAAGGAAATCAGATGTTATTAAATAAACAATACTATCACAAATCATTGTTGAACATACGTAAAATTCGATTTTCCCCTTTACAAATAAACCAAGATACCATGGTAGGAGGTACATGTCTAACTTT